CCCCAAAACCCCAAAACCCCAAAACCCCAAAACCCCAAAACCCCAAAACCCCTTTTCCAAGATACTATATAGAAAACATAATTGTAGAATATCGTATCTCTCTTACAAATCAAAAAGTACGTTATTGGGATCTTCAACACATTCCTTAATTTTTCTGAGGAAAAGCACCGCTTCTCTTCCGTCGATCAATCTGTGGTCGTACGTCAGTGCAATGTACATGATAGGCCTTGCAACGATCTTATCCCCTACGACAACAGGTCTGTTCTTAATAGCATGCATTCCAAGGATGGCTGATTGAGGTGGATTAATAATAGGTGTACCCATCATTGACCCGAAAACTCCTCCATTTGTGATCGTGAAAGTACCTCCTTGCATATCATCCAATCCAATCTTGCCTTCTCTAGCTTTAATACTTAATTCGAGCAAGCTTTGTTCAACTCCTGCATAACTCATTTGTTCACAGTTCCTCATAACTGGGACGACCAAACCTGAAGGAGTGGCTACTGCCACAGAAATATCTACATAATCACGATAAATGATCTCATCTGCTTCAATAACGGCATTTACGATAGGCTGTTCTTTTGCTGCTTGGACGACTCCTCTTACAAAAGCTCCCATGAAGCCTAGCTTGACTCCGTGCTTCTGCTGGAAGGAGTCCTGGAACTGGGACCTCAACTTCATGAATGCACTCATGTCGATCTCATTGAAGGTAGTCAACATAGCATTGGTGTCCTGTGCCTCCTTGAGTCTTTTGGCGATCGTCTGACGCATCCTGGACATCTTCACACGAGTTTCTGTTCTGCTACCGGTTATCGTAGAAAGACCTGAGGACCCAATCTGCATTCCAGGTGGAGGAGGACTGCTTGAGGCAAGAGGTGGGCTAGGCTTTTGTGATGGTGGTGGGCTTGCAGGAGCTGCTTTGGTCTCTGGAGCTGGGGTTGAGGCTGGAGTTGGTTCTGGAGTAGATTCTTTAGTCTCTGCTGGTGCTGGTTCTTCCGTACTAGCACTTCCTGCAGCTGAGCCAGTGGCTTCAGGATCTAATTCAAAGAAATCACCTCCGACTTCTATAACTTCTCCTTCTGGGACATGGAACTTAGTAATGACACCATCTTCTGGTGCTCTAATATCAACCATGACCTTATCAGTTTCCACAACTGCTACGATATCATCTCTCTTTACAAAATCTCCTTCTTTGGCACTATATTCCTGTACTGTTCCTTCAGTAATGGAGTCTCCCATAGTAGGGCATTGGATGACCTTGGAAGCGAAGAACCTGAGCTGGGATCTGTAGAAAGAAGTTGGTCTGCTAAGATTCATTGCAGACGCAAAAGTCTTGGAGAATATCCTTCGTGACCCGAATTGCATTTATAAAACTATTATTTTTAATCTATTATATATATTATAAAAGGGGTTTTGGGGTTTTGGGGTTTTGGGGTTTTGGGGTTTTGGGGTTTTGGGG